AATGTTTTTCAGCTATCATTTTGTGAAATAGGTTTTGCCTTTTTTCCCCTCCTTTTACAATTTTCAGAATATGTGACTATTTTCTCTCTTAATGGAGTTCCATAGTTTCATATCTTTCTTCTTTTCTTTTTTTGGTCTGACTGGGTTGATTCAAAAGATTCAACATCAAGTTCACAAATTCTTCTGCTTGGTCTAGCATGTTGTAGATGTTTTCAATTGGACTTTTATTTCATTGATATTTTAGCTCCAATATTTCTTATTAGTTCTTTTTTATTATTTCTGTATCTTTGGTGAATTTCTCAGTCATATCTTGAATTATTTTTCTAATTTTTAAATATTATTTATCTGTTTTTTCTTGTGTCTCACTCAGAAATGTTATTTTTAATTCCTTTTAGGCATACATTGGTGAGCCTTCCCATCGCTGGGACAAAATGTCCTACACCTGCAATGGGAAGAGAGGTTTATTTTGACTCATGATCTCAGAAGTTTCAGTCCATGGTTGGCTGGCTCCAAGGCAGAAACATCATGGCAGAAGGGTGTGGCAGAGAATAGTTACTTACTTTATGGCAGCCAGAAAGCAAGTCACAAGAAAAGAGAGGAAGGGGCCGGGGATTTAGCTCAGTGGTTCCAGAGCCTACCTTGCAACCGCAAGGACCCGAGTTTGATCTCCAGTTCCAAAAATAAAAATAAAAATAAAAATAAGAAAAGAGAGGAAGGAGCTAGGGACCATATATAGTCCCCAAGGTCACACCTCCATAACCCAGACATAGCCAGAAATGTACTTTACTAATCTTCTAAGCAGCTTGCATGCCAATCACATTGAAAAATCAAGCTTAACTGTCACAAAGTATCTCATGTATTTCCCTCAAATTGGGCTCTTTTCTGGAGACTTCTTGTGTTTTTTTGAAGATTTTATGTTTTTTTGTATTCCTGTTTGTGCATCTGGTGAAATAGTTGCCTCTTCCAATTTTATGGAGTAGCATTTATAGGAAAAAATTTTTTTACTTGACAGGATGTATGACATCAGTTGGGCAGGTTCTTTGGCTTTGGTTATAGGTTAGCTCAAAAGTGTACCATCTGTGTGATTTCTTCAACTTTGATGTTATCAGCGTCTATTGGTACCTCAATAATCTAGATTTCAACAGTTTGTGAAAGTAGTTATACAGCTTTGCAGTGGACATAGACTTCCCAAGGTATATACCTCAGACTTCACAGTCAAGCTTTGATGGCACTGAGGCTTATGATGGCAGCTACCACAGTCCTGGTGTTGTGGATATGGAAAGGTCTGTCTCCATTTCTCATGAGGCAAGCACAGGTAACACCAGGGGTGTCAGCAGCCACACTCCTCAAGGCACAGGATGTCTGAGTCACATTTCTCATTGCTGAGACAAAATATCTGACATCCAAAGTTAAAAGAGGAAAGTTTTATTTGACTCACAGTTCATAGAGGTTTCAGTCCATAGTTGGCTGGCTCCAAGGCAGGGTGGCATGGCAGAGGGGCATCTCAAATAAGGAAAAGTCCATGACAAAGCAGGCAGAAAGTAACAAGCAGCAAGTCCAAGTAACCTTAGCAGCTTCTTTCTGCCCCTTTTATATTGTATTTAAGCTCTCAGGCATAGGGCAGGTACCAAACCAATCAGTGGACTGATTTAGTGATCACACACTGTTAATCCCAGCATCACACTCTCTAGATCCAGTCACCTCTGAAAAAGCCCCACTTAGGACCACATGAGACTTTTGGGCGACATCTGAACATAAGCCATACCAGAGGATGTGAAAGATACCTTTCCCAGTACTCTCAAGATTAATGCAGAAGATGACTGGGCCTGTGCACCAGCAGCTACATTTCTAGATGGGATGGGGTAGGGCACTCCCTATATTTTACAAAATGAGCACATGTCTGGGGTCTGTGGTACTGGTAACCATAGACTCAAGGTGTAGAAAATGAAGGGGATCTTCTCTTGGTCCCAAGAAGTGGGTGGCTTTAGCACCCATATCTTGTAGCACTGGTAGCCACTTTTCTGGAGCTACAAGAGTCAGATGGAAACTTCTTTAGGTCCAAGGAACATATGAAGGTGGCGCTGGGGCTTTGAGCACCAGATTATATAGTCCCAAGACCATGAGTTGTGGAGATCTTTCCTAGACACCCTGAAGTATGTGGAAGTGATATTTATGCTTGTGGTGGGTTATAATCATGGTCGTCCTCTAGGTTATCCTCCTAGAGACCTTCCCTAGGTCTTACAAGTCAAATGCAGGTGGCACTGGGCCTTATAATTTTGGTATTTGTGGTCCTAGATCTGTAGGTTATGGATGAGAATACCCCTAGATCACACAAGGAAAATGCTGGTGGCAACAGGCTCCTGGCAATTGTAACCTCAGTCCTGGAGCTATAGGATATGAATGTAAAGTTTCTCTCATTCCCAGAGTTAAATATAGTTGACTCCAGGCCTCTTGCACCAATGACTGCAGTTCCAAGGCTGTGGGCTGAGGTGGGGACCTTCTTTAGTTTGCATGGGGCTGCTGCAGGTGGTGCAGACTTAGGGTACTGGTAGCTGCATTTCTGGAGCTGCAAAATATGGAGGGAACATTCCACAGAACCTACAGGACAAGTGTGTGTGATGTTCAGGCTTTTTGCACCAAGGCTAGGGGCTGGGAGAAGAATTTTGCTAGTTTTCATGGGGTACATACAGATGGTATCATGGTTTGGGGCAATAGTAGCCACAATCCTGAAGCTGTGAGACAGCCAGGACCCTCCCCAACTCTTCAAAGACAGGCATGAGTAATGCAGAGACTTTTTATACCAGCAACTGCAGATGTTACCAGACAGTTGGTCTCAGTCTTGCCTGATATCCAGGCTCTTTGTATCCTGAACAAAGAATTAAGCAGACACACAGAAGTAGTAAGAAAAGCAGAGATTTATTAAAGAGAAAGTGTACCCCACAGAGTGGGAATGGGCCATTGAGAAAGCTCAAGACTGGGTTAGACTCAGAGTGGTCCCATCTGTTTTAGATTTGAGGATAAAGTATACATGAAAGATTTTCAAGTGGGCAGTACGGAAAGACACCAACTGCAGTGAGTTGCGGGGTTGGCTTCTCTTGTTTTCCTAGAACTGGGGGAGTGGTCAGGGGTGGGTACTAATTTGACTTCTTTCCAGTCAACTGTCAGTCTCCACCCTCACCTTGGAAGGAGGAGTTTTTGAACGTTAATGGTGTGTGGCTGCCAGAGCCCATTAGGGAGGTCAAAACCACAGTGCTAATGATAATATAATGACCCTTGGTTAAGCTAAAGCAGTTAGAGTACATGCTCCTTAGGCTCCTGTGAGATGTCAAGAAAGTGTGATAAGGGCAGGAGCATATTTTTTAGGTTCATGTCAGGATGTTAAGGAAATATGGTGAGGGTAGGATCATATTTCTCAGGCTCATAGCAGGAAATATGGTGAAAGCAGGATGTTCCTGTGGTCTCCAGGAGCCAGAAGGTATCCTTTCTGTTATGAGCCTAGGGCTAGGATGCTTCCTATCCTATCACTAAGGCTATGGGCTAGGAAGGCAACCTTTCCTACTTCCCATGTGGCAAGTACAAGTGAACCTTGGGCCTTGGGCTGTGTCTCTGGAAGCTGCAGGTCTTGAAGCTACAGGATGTGGAGGGGGCTACCCTCTGCCCTGTGAAGTACATACATACTTCTATGGCTCAAGGCTTCTGTCAGTTCAAGGGGCCAGCTGCCAGACTTTAAGGCAAGAAGATGTCTCATAGTAGTTGTTGTATTAGCTTGGGTCTGGTGTTTGGGAGAAGCCCAATGTTAGTTTGTCTTTTGAAATGGAGTAGTTGCTCTGAGATGAGCTAAACTTAAAGCTGTGATGACTGTGGGATTCCCCTACAGTTAGGATTGCAGTTCTATTGCTGTGATGGGGGGAGGGGTATTGATACTTTCCCACTTGCCTTTCCCCAACAATGTGGAATCCTCCCCAGCTTCCCCAGCCAGGAATTAGTGTTGAAGTTGCAGTTTGTTTTGTTCTTTATCTAGGTTGTCTTTCTAACTCTCCATGTTGTTTTAAGGTTCCTGTCACTTCCTTGCTGATTTCTAGAGTTTTTGCTCACTCTCCTCAAAATACAGTTTTTCGTTTGTGTCTCTGGTTCTTCTCTGTGGTAGAAGTTGTGTGGAGGGCACCTCTGTTCAGCCATCTTGGATCTCCCGTAAGAGCCGTTCTTCAGTGAGCAACTTATGATTTGAAGACTCAACTTCCCTAATGATTCTACTGTTATCTATGCAGATCATATATGTAGATTATTAAATTTCTGTTAAATCACTCTCCATTTTGAGTCCTAATAGCAAGACTGGGAGAATGGAGTTAAATCTTTGTCTCTGTCTTTAAATTAAGACAACCATAGAGAACTAAAAATAGTCCAGCTTCAATGTTCCATGTGTTATTGGCTTGTTGCAGAATTCATTTTTAGATTCCAATGAAAAGACTTTCTTAGCTTTTGCTTTATCTACCTTTTCCAGTTGTATATCAGGATCCATACCTACTCAATTTAAATATTCCTACCAACAATTCTATCTCTGCTTCCCAATGGTTCCTGTTTCCCTACATACTCATTCAAATTATTAGCATAGTGTTATAAATCTGTCTGTCTGCTGTAAGCTTTCCCAGAAAATTTTTCATATTTGAAATAAAGGACGTTAAAGTAACTACAGTCAAATACAGCTTTAATGAACAGAGTTTAATCAAAACATGGACAAGAAGCTAAGATAATTTGTACCAATTTGATGGTTGTACAAAGTTACTTGGTTTGCTGGGAGCAGAAGTTAGACACCAGGTTTTAGAATTACTTTTCTACTATTGGGCAAATAGATCAATTATTTATGAGATTTGATCATCAGTTATAATGATCAAATAATGAAAACGATGACTTCTTTTAAAAGTTTTAAAAATCTAGTGGTTTATTGAAGTGTACAGAATCTATATAAACACACATATGGCTTTTGTTTCTTAACTTTATAGGAAATCAATGTGTTGACAGTTGCATTGGTCAACCAAGACCGAGAGAACAATATTGAAAAAAGAAGCCAAGGCTTAAAATCAGAGAAAGAAGCTCTGCTAATCGGTAAGGAAGTTGTTTTCTTCATCTATTCTCTTAAATAATTCTTAGGTAATTAGCTAAATTTTAATATTTTAATAATTCACCTCCAACTTTTAATAATTTAAACAGCTTTGACTTCTGGTTGGAAATAAGATTGATTTAAGATTATATTGTTATGCACACTACAAATTAGTGGCATACAAGCTAGTTGAGTTTTTCCTTTTCTGCAACAATGTACATATATTAATTGCTTTTCAGACATAAAAAAGAGTTCAAGAAAACAGATTAATTTTCATGTCACATGTCACAAATCCAAATTTTAAAACTGGACATGACCCTTCTGACTGGAGGCAAGGTTAGTTCTAGTCAGAAAGTTCCAAACCAAGCCACTCTTGTGCAGCTTTGAACTCAGAGATTAACCTCGAAGCCTCTTAGCAGAGGTCACATCCTAAGAGTAGCCCTAAGGCCAAACCTATAATGCTGCTGAATTAGGTCCATTCAGTCTACTGTGCTAGGCTAATCCTGGACAGTCTAATACAGACTTTCCCATCTGAGTGCAGATCCACTTATCCAAGATGGACAAAAGCTGGCCACTGAGAAAGGGGAAAAGAGGAAGAAAGAAGTTTCTCTTCACCTAAAATGTTCAGTTGCCCCACAAACACATCTAGATTGGATTTTTCTTTGGCTGGACAAGAGAGAAGCTCTAACCATTCTCTTTTAAGAATGGTCATCAGGAGATCCAGAAGCAGCCCTTACTTTCTCAAGGAAGAATACCTGTTGGGGATGTATTGGCAGTATGCCTGAGAGCCTACCTTAGCAGCAGGTTGGTCCCAGAATCCCTCAACCTCTGAAGAAAGAGGCACTGCCCTTCCCCTGGATGCAGACTTGGTTCAAGTTATGCCTTTGCACTGACCCCAGGGTGGGGTTCCAAGTTCATACTGGCTTTCCCATGGCACAGTTAACAGAGAAGGATGAGGCCACTGTACACATGGGAAATTGTTTTCATGTACTTTGTTATCTGGCAAAAGTAGTGCCTGGTTGCATTTTCTAAATACTGTATGTGGTTTCATCTCAAGATGACAGGTACACCAGGGCCTACAGAAGCTGGTGCAGGAGGAATTAAATCCAAAAGATAGTCCAGACTTCATCCATCATATATAGATTTTTCAACTACAGGGTTATTGACTATGACATCAACTTAGAGATACTCCAAGGAAAACCAATTATATTTTTCTCTCTGATGATATACAGCTGTAATAACGTGCCATGTGCAAGTCTCAGAAGACATGCTGATGTGCCATCAGTTCCTGGAAACTCAAAATGAACCCATATGTAGTTGCTAACTGAATTTCTCTCCTACTGGAAAATGTGTCCAATTCTAATACTGTATCTCTTTCACTTACTGTGACAAAGATGTACCTTCCCTCATAATACTTTTAGGGTATGAACAAAGCCCATAATGATCTACAGAAAACTTTCCCTCTTTAAGTGTGAATAATTCTGACCATATAAGGGTAAAAAAAATAGTGGGAACAGGTCTCTTTTTTGTTTTCTTACTGCCGTTAGACATTGCTTCCCTTTTTAGAGAACACGGTTCATTTACAAAGACTTCTACATAATTACTACAAGAAATACATGATATACACATACAAATATTTACACATGCATTTTAACCAGCTGCCTCAAAAATTTAAAAACCAGGACCGGGGATTTAGCTCAGCAGGTTTGCCGCCTGCTGTGCAAGCGCAAGGACCTGAGTTCGGTCCCGGTATCAAAAAAAAAAAAATTAAAAATCATATGCTTTACACATTGTACATTAATAAGAGTTGATAAAGAAGTTATATTTATGTGTTTGTTTTTAGTTTTTGAGGAAGTAGGATTAAACCCAGGGTATTTGCAATGACCTATGTCGCTTGCTCTTTAATTTTTTTAAGTGACCGTGATTTGGAGCTTTGCAGATCTGGATTGTGAGTCTTTTGAGAGAGAGTTCAATCCTTCCGCAAAGCTCTCTTCTTAACAATTAATGGGGCTGAGTTACGGTGTTCCAACTCAATTAAAGAAGATAACTCTTAGGAAGTACTTCACTGTGATTTTAGGATTATTTATTTTGTAATCCTTGTGAAAATAAGTTGACATATAATTGGACTTTTAAAAATTAGATTTGAGGGGGGCATTACAGGGTAGCTACTTTATGTTTCATTGCTCATTAGTAGCTACATGTTAAGTCAGCTTGACACTACTCAGTGTCAATGCCAGAACTCCTAGTTTTAGAGAGTTCAGTGATACAGCCTGCTGTGGCACAGGTGCCATAGGTTCGCCACCGCTGTCCTAGTCCATTTCACATATGGCCCATACACTGGATCTAGCACATACTGGAGTTGTTTGGGATAGAATGAGTCAGTACCTAGAATGAATCAGGACCTTTTACTTGAGACCAAACCTTTGGAGCTATGTTTGGCTGGAAACCATTGAACTTTATAAAGGAGAAGAGATCAAAATTTGTATTGATAAGCTAATGGCTTTGAGGAGATATTGATGTTATAACTTAACTATGTTACACTCTGTCTTCTCTTGCTTGTGAATATTAACTCAGTAGATTTCCAATTCCAGCACCTGTTATTGGCACCCTGTCAATGTTAGTCATCACTGCAAATCCTATCCAGATATAGCATAATTGAAACCTTCCTAACAACTTGAACTATTTGCAAAGCAGCTTTTCTTCAAAACCTCCTTGATCTTCTGAATACTGTCCTCAAATTCTTAATGATCAGCTAAACTTTTGCATACATCATCATGAGTCCTCTGAGGTTCAAAATAGCCACTGTGGGACACAAGGTACTTTTGCACTTCGGGCCCTGATCATGACACTATTTCCATTATTGTCACCATCTCACATGTATGCATAGTCTATCTCAGCACTGGAATGTTCCCCTAGTGCCTGGGCATTCGGGAGTAGATAAATTGAATGTGGCAAAATAACATTTACAGAAAGTTGAGCTGTGACATTTTGGTATTTTTCAGTGAATAGAGTTTAAGGTTAAATTCAGGCTGTACCTGAGTAAAGTAATCTGGAGTAATCTGTTCCTCCCTAAAAGCTACTGACCATAAGGAATGAGTTATTGACCTAAATCTTGCTTCCAAGGCATAAATGTCCCTATCAATAAATCAGTAAATATTTGTCAAGGCCTACTCTAAGAATTATCAGCCTGTGCTGTGCAAAAGAATCACTTGGGAACCCTATTGAAAAGATAGAATTTTGGGGCCCTCATTCAGATTCTGTTCATGGTTTGCTAGTCCTAAAGCATGAATAGGGTTTCACTGGATGGATAAGGAAGTTGTCAAGGGAATTTCAAATACAAGCAACAATTTAGAGAAGCCCAAGATAGTTGGAGGAGCTTACTTAAGACAGACAGATAGACAAATATTTAAAAAACAAAACAGACATAAATGATCAGGTTTTGTACTCAAGTAGACAGAACAAACTGATCTTTGTAAATTAAAGCTGTTTAGAATACCAAGGCAATGAAGTAGCAGCCCAAAACACAAGTGTCTGCTAGCCTTCTATCACCTACTCTCAAGCTTGCCTCTCTCCATCTACCACAAGCTCCTCATCATTCTTTAGCTGCCCACAGACCACTGTCCCCTCATGGCCCAGTGGGAGATCCAGATTTCACAGGGCTTCCACCCTGCCAGCCCCTCTAGTTCAGTATCCACACAGCCATTAGATGTGCTGTAATAAGAAGCAAGACTCCTTCAGGCTTGTTTGTGGTCAGGCTTCTGCTGCCCCCCAAGCAAGATATGATGGTATACAGACTTTAGAACTGAGGTCCTCTTCAGAGCTGAGGTCCCTAGGGTGCCCATGTACCCTATAGAGCTGATAGTCTTTTGAAGTTTCCCAGGTGCCTATCAACTAGTGCGGATATAGAGAAAGCTAATCTCAGCCAGAACTTTACACTTGGCACAAAAAGTTTGGAATGAAAACTCTAAGCAGCCTGAGGAAGATGAATATATTCTGGTAAAATTCTTTTCTCATTCCATTCAACAAGTAATGCACCAACCAAACTCAAAGTACAAATTGATATTTTGATCTGATCAGGAAACCAATCTAACTTTTAAAAATGTGAATTCACAGGAGAAAATGATGAGAGTGGAATGGATTGGCCCTGAAAGAAACCACAATTCCTGATGATCTCTAAACAGTCCTGGGCAGGGTAGTACAGAAGGGCATTCTGAGTATTTGTGGATTGAAGCATTTGACCCACTGGGTACCCTAGAACAAACTACTCATGTACCATTGGCTAAGTTCTCATATTGTACAATAGGGGGATTGATTAGATGGTCTTTTTCAACTCAATACTCAGTGAACTATGAGGACTACTATGAGAGCTGCATCCCCCTTTAGACAATGACCTTGTATGGAAGTAGGAGATCATGTGAATCATTATATAGAAATGACCTCCATGATCTTAGACTTTGAAAAGAGAAGAGCTTAGGATGTAGCTAAGTGGTAGAGTGCTTTACCAAGCATGTGAAAGCCCTTAGTTCAATACCCAAAATAGCCAAAAAAGAATTTTTTTTCAATAAATAAAAAGGAAGGAAAACCTATCTTGACCCTTTAACCTCTTTCATCCAAAAGCACATTTCCTTGCTCCTCATCAAAGTATAACCTCTCCAAAGTATGATCTATACTCTCGGTTTCCATTTTTACCCCTCTCTTCATCCCCCACCTGCCTGGCTTGTATCCTCACACTGAAATTGTCCTCGTTCACTTGACCAAAGAAATTCATTTTGCCAGTTTCTGAACTCCCTTCGTCCATCAGCTGCACTTTGCATGGTTGAATTCAGATGTGGATTTTCTGGAAATGCTTTCTTCTCTGGCTATGATGACACGATTGTTCCTTGTGGACCATTCTCTCTCACATTCCTTTGCTGAGTTTTCCTCAGCTTAATCCTTGAATTCTGGGTTTTCTCAAGGTTTACTTTTGAGCCCTCTTTTGGTTTCTCACTACACTTGGGATTTAATACAGACCCTTGACCCTGGCACATAAAGCCCTCTATAATCCATCCCCTACCCTCCTCTAGATGCTTACTGTGCCATTTTCAAGTCAAGTGTGTGCCTGCCCATTCATTTCTGCATTAGGGCCTTTGCACTATCTGTAGCTTGTACCTGATCTTTCTCCAGGCTTTCTGTGGCTGGTTTCTTCTCATCTCACACTTGGAAAATTTTGCTTTCTCAGAGAGGCCTTCAGTTGACCTCCCAGTATTAAATAGCACTCCACTCCAGCAAGCTCAAGGTCACTATCTCTTCTATCCTATTACTTGTTTTGTTTTCTTCATTATGCTTACTACTCTCTGAAAATATTTTATTTTTAATCTTTGTGTTCATCATCTATGTTCACCTAGAATAAAAGTTCTATGAGAGCAGGCATGTTGTGTTTTACACAGTGTTTTCCTCTAGCACGTTGACACCATATTGCTGCCAGGTATTGAATGCAATGTGTTTAAATGAATTGAATAAAGAAAAAGAAAACAAAAACTAATACTATTTTGTTAATTTAAATGCTGTTGCATTGGTCTTAAGCGAGGTTCAAAAATAAGAATAAACTAAATGGTTTTGACGAAATGCTTGTGTGCAGGTAGCCTGTTTAAGCAGGCCTTCCTAATGAGATTTGCCACTAGTTGTACAGAGCTGTTTTGTATGCTTTTCTGCTTTTAAGGCTCTGAGACATGCAAAAGAGCCCAGTAGTACTGACAACTTCCTCTGTTCCATTGATTGTTTTCATAAACTAGCTAGTTATATTTTCCATTATTGGAAGGCCCATCTTCAGTATGGAGACCTACTTATCTATGGAAATGGTCAGCAGCAGTTGTTGAGTCTGTCTCTTTGCAAATTCACCAGTTCAGAATCAGCTAAGTTTTCCACCCTCAGTTCCTAGGATTCTTCTTGCCAAGCTTGAGGTCACTCCCAGATGGTCATAAAATAATATACACTTGGGGTTTTGCAGCACTTTTTATTGACTTTTGCATTACAGCTCTCCTTTTACTATTCCCCGGGAACATTCTAGTTCCCTTAAAGAAGCTACAAAGGGAATTCAGCTATTTATTTAGGAAGCTCCCCTGAAATGAATGTGATTTTTTTAAAAAGGCATAGAAACTACATTTTTTCCTTTGCCAGTTAATGATATTAAAACTGACCATCATTACCTTCCACCATCACAATAATTTCATAGAGGGACATTTGAGGGGGAAAATTACAAAGGAAAAAGAAAGAAAAGGAAAAGGGGAAAAATGATGTCAGGATAAAATGGTAGTTCTTTGTATTTCAGAATAATAGGCCAATATCTGAAAATTGAGATTTTAGCTTTATGAAGAAATTATTTCTATCTTCTTCATTTACTATAAACATATAAAAGCAGATTTCAAAGAACAGGTCTTGGAGAGTGCTTCTCTAGACCTTTTAGTTCTCTATCTTCAAACTAAGGATAAACTGGGAACTTTTCTTTAAAAACTGACCTGCATCCTGCAATATCCCAACAGCATTCACAAGACCTTGTCCCAGATCAATCCAAGCTCCCATGCAAATAGAGGATGGCCTAGTTCAAATATGATGTGCTTGCCTGGCACTTGCTGTGACTGCAACATCTCATGCCATTGAGGGTCTTCTCTTGGACCTTTAGCTCCCAAGCATCAAGGTTTACAATAAATAGAACATGAGACTTAATATATTTTAAAACCTGCTTAAAAGAACACTTAAATGTCCATCTGAGCACAGCCTCCTAACAAACAGCAGTGCAGTTTGTGAAGCTGACTTCCTCACTATTTTGATTTTGGGTACAGGAGCTGGGAAGACAGGAAGGTAATGCTTTGTACGTCAGCCCGTATATCAACATCCAACTGTGTATGTGTCAGTACAATGTTTATGGTTAATTCTCACCAGGGAAAAGTCTGATTTATCATCAAACACTAGCCAAAGCATCTACTTTTTAAATGATCTTGTAAATTACAGTAGAGAAGGGCAGAGTGTGCTGGCTCCCTTTCAACATCAGCAACAACCCGAGGAAACAGCAAATGTTGCAGTAAGAATGTGTGCTTCCTCCAGTCACAGCTAGGGGAATATGAATTGCATACTTTTCATAACCAGCCACTGTAATTGTCAGGAAAACTTAAGGCAGTGTGATTTCTGACATAGCCATATGAGCCATTTTCATACTGCAGAGTCCACTGAGAGAAAGAAAAAAGATAAATTTATCCTTTCAATAGCTACAATTTTATATTGGTAAATCAAGCATAAGATTGGTAGTTGAACTGCTTCCAAGAGTTTTTGTCTAGAAATACCTTTATTTGTCTAAATTTTATTTCAGAGTGTAGCTTTGCTAACTACTATCATTCTGGAGACAAAGTATTTTGCTTGCCATATTACCACTACTGTCTGCAGAATGCGCTATTATTGGGTACTTGTTGAGTGCTGTTAGAAATGACAAGACCATAACTCAGCCTGACAAAAGTTATTGAGGTTAGATGGCATAATGTATGTAACTGAGACTTTCACTGCTCTCTAAATATTTCCCAATGTTTGTCTTTTTAATTCAGGCATCATATCCACATTCCTTCACGTCCATCCTTTCGGAGCCAATATAGAATATCTTTGGTCTTACATGCAGCAGCTGGACTCCAAGGTAAATTATTTTTCTTGATTGAACTTTCATTTCTGAAATTTAGCATGTTGATTGCTGGCTGCAGGTGGACTCTGCATGAGCTTCATCAGGCTGGAACAGCACACACAGGTTTATCAGCACCTCTCCTTTATAGAGACCTCAGGTTTGGGCAGGATAGTTGTCTCCTTCTTGCTTGCTTTTGCCTCTCTAGAAGGAAAAGTAGTTATCTAAAATGACAGTGACTGTCCATAGGTGTCAAATTATTTTGAAAAGCTTATGGGAGATTTAAGATTACAGGTTGGCCTGAAAATTCCCAAAACAGGGGAAATCAGGTGAGGCTAACTAAATAGGCATAACCCTTAGGCCATATTCTCACAGGATTCCATGTTAGGGACTTCACACAACACAGGAAAAATAATCTCAACATAAATATCTGATATGGCTCTCAAGAAAACAGTATCAATGTCTCTTTTTCTGTATTATTATCAAAGTGAAAACAATTATTCTCACCTGTGTCCCTTAAGGTTCACATCCAGAATTAGACATCACTCCCATCTCTCTGAAGTTCAGCTTTTCTCATTTGCAAATTAGCTATATTCTTAGAGCATTGCAGTATTTGTGTGCCAAAAGAGAAGGGACAACAAAAGAACTCAACTTCTGTATTGAATTTGAACAAACAGTGAGAGGGACCACTGTTGAAGTAAAGTGATGGCCCTAGCCAGGGCTGCCTGGAAAACCCAAGGGGCTGAACACAGCAGCCCCTCAGAGAAGTCACTGAGGAGCCTGTAAAGCTTCCTGCTGGAAGAAAGAACAGGTACTCCTCCCCAGGGCACAGCAAAGTGCATGGAATGCATACCACCGGATGTGTAAGCTGTAGTTGTATAACCCTGCCTAGACACACGTAAGTCTTTCTAAATTTTAGCATGGACTTGATCAGTACCTTGTGTTTTTATTTGACTCAAAAAACTGTCCCAAAATACTTGGCTTGATACTTCCCCTTTGAGATAGATCATCTGGAATTAGAAGTATTTTTCAGTCATAGAGACTTTTTTCATGACCAGCCAAAATAGGGTGTGAAAGGAGTTAGATTATAAAATTATTTTTTAAATTTTCATTTGCATACATTAATTGTACATATTAATGAGATTTAGTGTATTTCTATACATGCATATAGTGTGCATTAATCATAGCCAGTCTCCTTCTTTTTACCCTCCTCCTTAATCCTCCATAATCACTCTTCTACTTTCATGTCAATGTTATATAATTTTCACATTTAAAACAGAACATGTGGTACTATCTTTCTTTAGCTTATTTCATTTAACATAATGTCCTCCAGTTCCATCTATTTTGCTGAAAATGACAACATTTCATTGTTCTTTATGGCTGAATAATACTCCATTTTTCATTTTCTTTCTTCATCTGCTGATGGTCACTTAGGCTGACTCTATACCTTAGCTGTTGTGAATAGTGCTGTAATAAACATGAGTATACAAGTATCTCTTTAATATACTGACTTCATTTCTTTTGCATATATGCCCAGGAGTGGGATAGCTGGATCATATAGTAGTTCTATTTTTGTTTTTTTAGGAACCTCTTTACTCTTCCCCATAGTGGTTATACTAATTTACACTTCCATCAACAGTGTATGAGAGTATTTCTCCACATCATTGTCAGCATTTGGTATTTTTGTTTTTTGAGTAATAGCCATTATAAGTAGGGTGAGATGGTATCTCATTGTAGTTTTGATTTGCATTTCCCTAGTGCCAAATGATACTGTACATTTTTCATTTGTTTCTTGGCCATTTGTAATTTGTAAAGAAATATCTTTAAGATAATTTGCTCATTTTAAATTGGACTTCTTGATTTTTTTTTAGTTCTTTATATATTCTAAATATTAACCCTTCATCAGATGAATAATTAGCAATTATTTTTCCCATTTGTAGGTTGTCCCTTCATTCTACTGTTTGCTGAAGCTTTTCGGTTGATGTAATCCCATTTGTCCATTTTTGCTTTCGCTTCCTGTGCTTTTGGGGTCCTATCCAAAAAATCATGGCCTACACCAATGTTTTGAAGTGTTTCTCCTGTATCTCCTTCCAGTAGTTTCAGAATTTTGAATCTTGCATTTAGGTCTGATCCATTTTGAGTCTATTTTTGTACAGGACAAGAGATAGAAGTCAAGTTTCAATCTTCTGCATATGGATATCCAGTTTTTCTAGCACCGTTTAAGACTGTCCTTTCTCTATTATACATATGTTTTGGTGCCTTTCTTAAGAGTCAGTTGGCTGATTCTTACATAAACTTATTTCTAAAGTCTCTATTATATTCCTCTGGTCTGCCACTATGTCTGTTTTCATGCCAATACCAAGCTGTTTTGGTTACTGTGACTCTGTAGTATGTCTTAAAATCAGGTATTACAATGCCTGTAGCTTTGTTCCTTTTTTTGTTTATTTATGTTTTTTTGTTTTGTTTTGTTCCTTTGCTCAAGATTGCTTTGGTTATTTTACTAGGGTCTTTTGTGGTTCCTATGAATTTTAGAATTTTTTATTTCTAGTTCTCTACAGAATGTCATTGGTATTTTGATGGGGACTGCATCGAATCTATAGATTACTTTGGGTAGTATGGACATGTCAGCAAGATTAGGCTCTTCTGATCCATGAATTGGTGGGGGCGGAGCCATCTTTTGTGTCTTCATCTGTTTGTTTCATCATTGATTTGTAATTTTCACTGTACAGGTTTTCATCTTAGGGCCAGGGATTTAGCTCAGTGGTTCCATTGCCTGCCTTGCAAGTGCAAGGTCCCGAGTTTGATCCCTGGTACCAAAAAAAAAAAAAAAAAAAAAAAGATTTTTATCTTCCTTGGTTTTTGTACAAATTTTTGCAGCTATGGTGAATGGATTTGATTTGTTGATTACTCAGTAAATCTGTGGACATATAGAAAAGCTACTAATTTTGGTATGATATGATTTTTGTGTCCTGCTACTTTACTGAATTAATTTATCAGTTTTAATGGTCTTTTGGTAGAATCTGTGTTTTTTGTATGTACAGAATCATATCTGCAAACAGGGATAATTTGACTTCCTCTCTTCCTATTTACATGTTTTTTATTTAACTTTCTTAGTTGCTCTGGCTAAAACTTCTACCTCCATTTTGAGTAAGAACAGTGAGTTGATATCCTTGTCTTGTTTCTGATCTTAGCAGAAGTGCTTTCAGCTTATCCCAGTACGGTGTGATTGCCATACATTGGGGCTGAAATGTTCCCCAAAAGCCCAGGTGTGAAAAACTTGCTCCCCAGCCTGTGGCACTGTTGGGAGGTGGTGCAGCCTTTAAGAGATGGGCCTTGTTGGAGGAAGTTTGTTAGGGTGTGGCTTTGAAGGAAATATTGGGATCCCAGCCCCTTTTGTTTCTTCGCTTCCACCTCTGCTGAGGTAAGCAGCTTTGCTTTATCATGCATCCCCTGCCATGATGTTCTGCTTCACCAAATGTCAAAAGTCATCAAGGCCTAGAGACCATGGACTGAAAACTTGAGCCAAAATCAATCTGTCCTCTTTGATTTTCTCAGGTATTTTGTCACAGCAATGAAAAGCTATAATGTTGGCTGTTGGTTCGTCATATATAGCCTTTATTGTGTTGAGTATGATCCTTCTAAAACTATTTTAATTAAGATTTTTATCATGAATGGATGTTAAAGTTTATCAAATGTTGTTTATAAAACACCTATTTGAAATAAGCATAGATTTTTATCCTTTACTCTGGCAATGTGATTATTACAGTGGTACCTCGGTTCATGAATGCTTTTGTTTGTGAACAGTTTGGTTCGCAAACAGATGTGTTTGGCAAAATTTTGTTTTTGTTTGCAAACTCTGCATCAGGTGATGAACATGACTGTGGCCATTTTTCCCAGGATCATGAACAAAGTTTGTGAACCGAGGCACCACCATATATTACTGATTTTCATATGTTGACCCATCATTGTATACCTGAAATGAAACCAACTTGATCATGATGCATGATATTTTTTATATGTGTTGAATTCAATTTACTAGTACTGTATCTGATTGATGAGTTTTGCATCTATGTCCATTTCATTGTTGTGTCCTTGTCAGGTTTTGTAACACAGTGATGCTGGCCACATAGAATGGGTTTGGAAATGTTCTCTCCTTTTCAATTCTATGACATAGTCTGAGAAAAATTGACATTCTTTGTGAAAAGTTCATTCTTTGTGAAATTTAGCTCTACAGTCATTGAATTCTGGGCTTTTTATTAAATTGGGATACTTTATTACTGATTTAATCTTATCACTCATTATTGGCCTAATCAGGTTTTTGTCTTTAATGCTGGTTCCAATGCTGATAGGTTAGATGTTTTCATTGTCTACTTTTCATTTAAATGTTAGTCTGTATTCTCATGGATTTTATTGAGATTTTTATAATACTTTTGAATTCCTTATCAGGCACTTAGTCATTTAAAATTTAAAAACTGTTGCTACAGAGTTAGGATCTTTTGGAGGTATCACATGACCTTATTTTTTCATATTTCTTGTTTTCCTACATTGAGATTTGTACATCTAATAGATTACATATCACTACCACTTCTATGAGGTGGCCTCCTTAGCAACTTTCTCCTGAAAATGTGTTTTGGGCTGTCGGCTTGTTATGCAGTTTCAGCTTTGATTCTAGCTGAGCAGTGTCATGTATTCTCCCTTGGCTTCTTTGGCTATGATTAGTGAGCTTGGGCACAGTATATACTGTGATAAATTCAGAGATACCCGCTATCTCTAGGGCATGCAAGAATAGGGACACTAGTAGGCCAGACAGGTATGGTGTAAACAGCAGTGAATGTGGGGTGCTTATTGTGTGGCTATTCCCACAGTAGGAGTGGTGCCTTCTGTCAGGTTATGGGTGTTTTTTTAGTCACTATGGTTGCCAGCTCTGTTGCTACTATGGACCTCTGGGACTAGAAGCCCCAGCATGGGGAGAGGCAATGGTAGGAACCACAGCACCATTCTATCTTGCTTATATTCAG